CACAGACGGGTTGATGGATGTACGACTCTTCTCTAGCACATAAAATGTAATATTAGTCATTTTATCTTAAAGAATCTTAAATTAGAGATGCTGAGATTTTTGATTTGACCCCTCTTTAATTTTGACACTTGCCAGTGTTATTCGTAAGAATATTTGATCCATTCATAGATGATCTCTCCTGCTAGGGGAACAGAAAAAATTTGTGCTTTAAATATAGGAGAATATTCGAGAGAAAAGACAGTGGCTCCTTACTCCACCCTGTGTCCTCTTGAACTGGCTGTGTGCCTGCTGCTCTCATACAGCCCATTGTTTTGTGATAGTTCAGGTTGTGATCTGTATCAATGCTCTAACAAGTTCCTGTGACCTACCTCATACTGAAATACTTTATTTTCCTTGTCTCTTCTATCTCAGAGGGGTTTTTTTTCTTGAAATGCAGTGATTTTTTTTTAGATTTTTTTTTTCCCCTTCCCCTGAAAGCAAGGGGTAATTGTGTAGTGGTAAGTGAATAAGCCAAGTGTGTATGTGTTACATTAACTTTTTTATATAAAAATTAATATTCATGTATTATGCCTGATAGCATACATGGTAGCAAGCCCTTGATGTCTGAAGCAATAGAAATAATACTTACCAGGTCCATAAATAATTCCAGGTTCAGTGAAGAGTCTTTGATGTGTTGAATGACACACGACTTCAGGAATAGCAGTGCTCCAATACAACTAGTTTTCTTCTCTGAGCAAGGTGTTTTGTAAAATTTTTAAGCCCTGAGTCTACAGAGGTGTAGGCTTATGCATAACTTTGACTAGTGGCTAGTTTCATTGGCGCGATTAACTATTTCATGTGTAAATGTTTGTAGGGTTGAGGTTTTAAACTGGATATACATTAGCCACTAATTTTGAAGGAGTATTGTGGCTCCCTCTGCCCTCTGTGATTATATAAGCTAATATGTATCCGATTTCTGAGTTTGTCTGAATGTAGGTTATAGTCCTTTGATACGTGAAAAACTAAACTTTCACTTTAATTGCATATTTTAAATCCAGTTAAGATCTAGAATGTCCCTAGATGCCAGCTCTCAGTGCATAGTATCAGAAAGACACGATCCTTGAGTACCTCTATAAAAATAATTTTTACTTTGTTACAGATTAATTAAAAGTACTTTGAAGAAAAAATAATCTTCTGTAAGTGGAAAGGATAGCCTTATGCTGGTTATGCTTTATATCCAAGGAAATCTTGATTAGCTGCTTTCTCCTCCAGTACTCCGGTGGGAGAATTTCATAAACCAGCAGCTAAACTTTTTCCTAGATAGAGTGTTAATGCAGAAGAAGAGGGGGAATTTTTAGCAATGTTAGCAGCATGTAATGCTGTATATTTTGAGTTGCAGAACTTGCTTTCTGTCTCTTCCGTTTTCTTCATGGGGAATCATATTTCAGCGGTTACGAAGACATACTTTCCTCTAGTATAGTATTGGACACTGCTTTTCTCTGCCATAGGAGGAACATGAAGGTAGGAAGAAAGAACACTCATGTACCAAGGAGGAGATATCCTTTGAGGGCTCCGAGTACCTAGCACCATACTCTTTCAAAATACAAGGCTGTTTTGCTTCCCTTTGAATGCCCATTCATCTTTCCTAAACATTAATTTAGGAAGCTCTTCAGAAGGCAACACACACAGATACCAAGTTTAATACGAGGATTGTGTAATGTCTTCTCCAGCTACAGGAGATCTTCTTTACAACATAAGAGGCCTCATCCTTCTTCTGCACATGAAGGAGTAGTTTAAATGATGTTTAAAGTACACACCAAAATCTGAGATTGTAATTCCCTGTCATACAGGTGGAGCTAGAAGTCACATTTTCTAACAGTGAGCTTGTGTGTAATGTGAAAGGCAGAAGAAAGTAAAAGAAATGCAGAAGCTTTACAGTGTGATGATAGTATAGGAGTCTGGCTCTACATATCTAGGATTCAAAAAGCAACTTTTGTGTTCTCATATTCTAATTCTTTTCTTAGTCTGTGTCTCCATCTGTTTTCTTTGCAGTTTTTTGTCTTACAGGAAACGTGTGTCATTTGTGTAGAGCATATTGTATTGAATTAAAAAGAAAAAAAACAACTTGAGTTAAAAATAATGTTAGTATAGTGCAGTAGTAGGTTAAACATTCCCTTTAAAACTGGAAATTTAGTATGTTGGAGATTTATTAATTCAACAGACTTGGTATTAAGCAATTAGATTTCTTGAATACAAGTAGTAGCATATGGGAAAAGGAAAAGGGTAGTACATACTGAAAGGAATTCTGTCCACATAATCACGCTGGTGATTTGAAGTATTGCAGTATTTAGTAGATGAAATCTGTAGTTCCTTTTGTAGTCCATCTGTCTTGTTTCACCATACTGTGTATACCATTGGCAAGAACATAGAAGAATTTCATTCTTGCAGCCAAGGGTCCAGTTTATCTTGTCTTTGGTATGTTTTCAGCAGTTTATAAAATGCAGATTACAAAGAGAAACCCAAAACTATGTGACTGAAGTGACTTGATAAAGGCTAGGAGCATAACCACACCGAAAACCTGTGGAGAATGCTAGTCGGTGATATTCTAGGCAAAACAATGGGGTACTGAGTTCGTGTTTTTCTGTCAAGTATTTTCTGCCTTAGCTCATTGTGGACTTCTGAAACAGCTTCAGGACATAATATCTCCATGGATAATGGAGTGCTGTTCTGATTTAGTTTTGCAAAATAGTTTGCTTCTTCGGGGGAGGTAAAATCTCTCCTTATTAGGCTTGTTGCACAGCCTTTTTATAGAGTGGAGCAGAATGGAAATAACAGAAGTCTAATCAGGTCCATGTAGTCTACTCTTAATATGAATAGCACTGATAAATATTGTGTGTAGTATTTTGTTTGCATCGTGGGGAAACATATTCTTGCTAAAATGACAGGACATTAAATGACTAAGTCTTGCAAAAACAGTCTAGCCCTGCTAGTTTGAGTGAACACTGAGACTAACAGATCACACTTTCCATGGAGAAGTACTGAAACCAGAACTCCAACTGCAATACCAGTGTTCTGTGAAAGATTGTCGTTTATGGAGGACCATTATCATTGCCTTTGTTCAAGTTGGGTTCCTCTCATGCAATTAAATTGTCACTGACCAGCATGATGACTTTAAGCAAAGGAAAAGGAAGTTGAAGTAAGAAAACTTCCAAGTTAATCAAACCGAGCTCGGTTGAGATAGCTGAAGCATTTAATTGTAATAATCAAGCTGATTGTGAATGCACATTAGTTAAAGTCTTAAAAATGAGGTAGTGATCTGTGTCGATGTATGGGTGCAGATCTGAAGGTACCCATGTAATTACTGCTGCTGGGTTTAAGATTAGGTTGTGATAATATTTTTATAAAAGAAGAAATTGGTAAGCGATTTAGAAATTATAAAATGAACTATGCTCATCATTGAGGCGCTCTAATGAAACAAGTAGAAAATTTGGTTTGCTTGAGCAGTAGGTATGAGACCTTGCCCAAGCTTGCGCTGGAACTGCTTTTTTTCTCACACTAGCTGGTCTTTGTAGAAGTAAATTTTACTCTTTACTTTTACATGTAACTATGTATGCTTTACAGGGACAGCATGGTGTGTAAGAGCAAAGACCTCACAAATCAAAATTTCTGGCTAGTTTTACAAATACCATGGAAAATAAATTATGCTCGTAGTTGAAGCTTCCAAATGGGATTTCTGTCACTATTGTCCTTTGATGCATTTAGCTCAACACAATTGTATGTATATGTTTTCAGTGTCAAAAATCAACCTCGTAAATATTTTCAATAGTTCTGACTAGCTGTATATCTGTTTC